CCGAGAACCGGGATCATATATGCACTGTTGCCAGGTTTTGAAGGTCAGGGCTTTTCCGGGCCAGAGAACTCTGCAGCGAGCACTGTCCTTGCAGTGATGGTTTAAGGATTCGAGTCCTGTCAAGTGATTTGCAAAGGTTAGGTTTAGGGTTTGGGATTTGGGCGGTGATTTGCAACGGTTCGGCTTAAATGCCTAGACCTTATAGGGTCAATCGCGTCACTGGAGACGAAACTCCGTGCAGAGAGCCGCTGAATAATTACGAAAGCAAAGAATCGCATGAGAGGAACCCGGAGTTGAAGTGTAACTTGATGTGACCGTTCGAACGAAGTGCAAAGCAACACCGAAGGAGGGAGAGGGAGGAACGACAGAGCATGCGAGAGAGAGGGAGAGAGGTGGACAGACGGACCAATAGATGATCATGGCCAAACGGCGCAGAAGATTGTGGTGATCCGGGTATCAGAAGCGGTTCCGAGCTGATTGAACAGATTGAAATCCCGACCAGACCAGCACTTCACCCCACCGCCCGACACTCCAACTTGCAAAGCCCCGGACCCTGAACGTTCTTAGTTCTGGACACAGCGCTACAAGACATGAAGCGTCTTTAGCTTCGCCGAGGCAATGCTGCTGAGATTGTGGAACGTCTAAAAGGCTGTTGGCCCAAGTGTTGTTGCCCAAAGCCTACACAGTGAGTAGAGCCGTGGGTTTCTACAACAGCAACTATATACTTTGATGGTTTGGGCAAGTATCCCCCCCAATAGGGGCTTGGGACCCTTTGAGTTGGGTTGTCGAAGTCCCAGTCCGGTCGGGACTCCGGAGGATGTCGGTTGCTGATTGCATGACCGTTCTGGGCGTATGCGCATGTGATACCACCCTAAACCCTAGAAACCCTAAAGCACTAAACCCTAAACCCCGAAACCCTAAACCCGAAAACAACCCTTAACCCGAAGAAACCCTAAACCCTAAACCCTAAGCCCTGATACCCTGAGAGGAACCTGAAGTCATCGGGCAGTGCAGGCCCAGCTGAGCCCTGAACCCTGCACTTCTCAAGAAGGGCCCAAAGCCTAGAGCAAAGGTTTAGGGTTTCGGCTTTAGGGTTTACGGTTTAGGGTAATTATTAGGATCCTCATATTCAAACCTTAAATATAATGGATAGTTATAAGATCCTCATATTATTAAAACCCAAAACCCCAAACCCCTAAAAACTATTATTACAACCCTAAACCCCAAACCCCTAAACCCTACAGCCCCTGAGCAAGCTGACGTTTTGTCTTTCAACTAGGAGGTCGACATCACACGGCCCATCCCGAAACCCTAGAACCTTGCTCCTGCAGAGGCAGCTATCAGAAGCGGTTGGGGGAAGAGGGGGTCCGAAAAATAGACTTAAAACTAAAGCCTGTCTGAGGTTTGCAGGAGATTTTAGTGTAGGGTTTAGGAGTTTAGGGTTAAGGAGTTTAGAAGTTTAGGAGTTTAGGGTGTGGGAGTTTAGGAATTTAGGTTCAGGGCTCCAAGAAAGGCTTTTTGCATCTTAGACCCTAAACCCTTAACCCCTAAACCCCTAAACCCCTAAAAATCTCTTGGAGGCATCGAAGAGCGCTGCGACTTTGCTGGGCGGGAGGCACGTGAAACTGTGCACCCTGATCCTAGGACTCCAGCTACGAAGTAATGTGGGGGCCTTAATAATTACCTATACTATTTCGGGGGTTCCTGAATATAATACAAGTATAATATATTCCACAACCCTGGTCTAATTCTTAACGCCCCTACATTAATGACCCTAAACCCTGAACCCATATTCATGAGTCGTGGCAATTACATGCTACGGTTCTGTTACAGGAGATCTGGGGTTAGGTAAGTGGATGTAGAGTTATTGGATCCTTAAGGGAGGGTGGTTCAAGCGCGGAGGGTCCTAGGGATCCTTAGGGAGGTTTAGGGAACCTAAGGGAGTACTAGGGAGAATTGGGGATTGCTGGGTTATATAGCCCCCTTAGATACCCCTCCCTTAAGGATACCATAATAGAGAGAGACCCAAGCTTTGCGCTGCTTTCCTCGCAGGTCGGTGCCTTGGCCGAAACTCGTGGAAAGCTCGAGCAGCTCGGCTGCTGAACCCAGAGAACCCAATACCCCTTAATGAAGCAATATACCTTAAATTATAGGGGCCTTATGATTATGGTTTAAAGTATATTCCTTAATTAAGGGGTATTGGGCTCTCTGGGAAATCGCATGTTGCGGATTTGTGGTGTCATAGTTCCCAGGCAAGCCCAGCGAAGTGAAGAATGGTTCACTAACACTACGAATTACACGTCTATTCATAGCTCATCAGAGCAGAAATCTACGGCCCAAAGGCAGCGACCTACTACATGGGCAATTTGCTTTCTATATTGCGAGGATGCTATCATCAGAGGGTCACAGCCTTCAAAGCCCGGATTAAACTTTGTAAGGCCGTCGCAGGATAATACTGAACGGATCAGCGGATATCAGGCTAACTAGGGCTGTAGGGTAACTGTACTTGCGCTTTCTTCTTAGCCTCCATTGAAGTACTCGTAGCCTCGCCCGCTACGTCCCATGATCCTCCAAGCACCCCCTACTCCTGCACCGAGGAAGCCTCTTTCTCGCTTCGGCAAGTACCCTTTATGCATCAATCCCTGGCCGGCCCCTTACCCTACACGCGACACTCCAACCAAGTTTGATCCTTACCCTTATTCCAAGGGTCCAAAGGACCCAGCAATCAGGTACTCAGGTTTCGGATAGTAGTTATGTAGGTTACTATGTGGCAGAGTATATGATTATTAGGTACTTGGACCCTTAGGGTTATAGCCCGAAACCCCAAGACTAGACCCACATGGCTCCAGGAGGCTGCCCCTCTTTTCTGCACCCGCGGGAGTGATGTATGGGAAGTTCTGCGACTTGGATTCCGTTGTTCCTGGAGATCCGAAGAGTTACCCTACCTGTAGTCTCCATTATAGTTCCCTTTTATGGTTTAACCAATTATATATTAAGGATTGTATAAGGCATCCCCAAAAAGGAACTACAATGGAGACTATAGGTACACCGTACACCCCAAGCCCCAATTCGACGGCTTAAACCCTAGAAATACAGCCTGTTGTGGGCCAGCGGGCTGTGTGGAACCCTAGGGTTAGGCGCAGGACTTTTCAACCAACTACCCCTCCCGCATCCCAAAATACTGGTGGTGCTCACAAAACGAGATGCAAGCAGATATTACTCCACATGGATGAGCTCTGAACATGAAGCCCTACAATATCCTACTATTCGACACGTGCTTGATCTGTGTGCCGCTCGGGTCCACAGACCTTGACCCCAAGGGTCTAAATGACCCAATAATCAGGTACTTAGGTTTCGGATTGTAGGTATGTAGGTTACTATCTGGGAGAGTATATGATTATCAGGTACCTTGGACCCTTAGGGTAAGTATAACCCTAAACCCGAAACCCTAAACGCGAACCCGATAATTAGGTACCTGGACCTTAGGGCTATATAAACCCTAAACCCTAAACCCCGTGGTGTACATGATTATTAAGTACTTGGACCCTTAGTTATGATATCGGCCCAAGTTGAAGCTTCAATCCGACAGCCCCAACCGACTGTCCGGTTTACTTGGAGGTCCAGGGGACTTAGTAATTTGGTTGAGGGTTTAGGGTTTAGGGTTTAGGGTTTAGGGTTTAAGGTTTAGGGTTTAGGGTTTAGGGTTAAGGGTTTAGGGTTTAGGGATTAGGGATTAGGGTTTAGGGATAATTAGGGTAACTCCATTTAGGGTGCTGGGCCTCCAAGTACTCACTGTTGCTGTACAGGTACGTAATGTGGGGGCCTCAATAATTATAACAGGGTTTTTGGCTCCTTTAGAGCATAGTTATAATAAGGAGCCCTAAAGAATAATACTCGTAGCTGTTTAGGCCTGGACAGTAGCTATGTGCTGAGTCAGGGCTCAAGGACCGTAGTTAACCTGCGGCATGGACAACCAAGCTTATACTGGAGATTTTTTTGGGTATGCAACATGGTTACTCTTGGGTCTGGGGTATGCAACATGGTTACTCTTGGGTCTGGACAAGCCTGAGCAGAGATGCGAAAAGAGAGAAAAGCTTTCATAGATTTGGAACAAGCTGACTTGTCTCTATAATCAGTCATTAGCTGCTGAAACGACGGTCCTTGCACTTCGGATGGTGTTACTTGTGGCATTTGGTCTTTTCGCAGTTGCCGCTGTTCTGGGTGGCAGTTCGCAGTTGCCGCTGTTCTGCTGGTGGCAGTGGCGGTGTTGTTGATGGTGATGGTGTTGGCGGTGGGGCCGAGGGCAGAGGTTTAGCGACAAGCCGGAGAAGAAGGTTCATAGCCTATAGCCTTGACTTAACTAGTTCCAAGCCTTATAACCCGTAAACTTGAGCCTACGCCCCAAACCCGAAACCCGAACCTCAAACCTGTGCATCCCAATCCCTCCATCAAACTCATCTCAGCATGGCTGCACGGCTACGATGTGCTCACCTGCTATGCGGCTCATCCCGAACTGACGCCGCCGTCCTCGGTGCCATGCTCGCAATTAAAGAGGTGTTTCAACAGGCTCATGACATGCTGCAATAAGGGTAGGTGACGGGATCCAGAACAGGAAGCAACATTGTCTTAGTTGTCTCTCTCTCTCTCTATACATATGTTTGTGTGTTTATAGCTATATAGAGATCTAGAGTTTTAGATATGTAGATAGATATATTTAGACATACACACATACATGCATATATATATATATACACACAAGCATGCATACTTGCTGAATTTCCTTCTTGTTCTCAGGGGACTTCCTCCCACCTACTTTTCTAAGGCGCTTGATGAGGCTGATGGGGTTTAGGTAGACAGGCAGTGCACCATGTGAGGCCTCTCTGCGCATCAAGATACCGCCCATCAGCGCATGCCGCGCTTGTTCTTTATGTGTACATATATATATATATATGTACCTACATGCATATCTATGTGCACATGCATATATGTATATATGTGTGTGTAGTTATGTGTTATGTATATGTGTACAGTATATGCAAGTATGCATATGCATATGTTGTTGCTGGAGTGATTCCGTACTATTTACTATCACTGGGCTGTAAGAGCATGCATCATTACTGGATTTGCTCCAGGCATCTGATTACCGATTACAATACTTGGGGATTATTTCGGGTCCTTAAGGGTTTGGGGGTGAAGATTTAGTTGTCAGGGTTTCGGGTACAGGACTCAAAGTTCGTCGGGGGGGTTGGCATTTGATCATCGGTCAACATTGGTGGTGGACATAGAAAGGACTATGCCACACTTCGCACAGTTTTCAGCAAGTCCTTAAGTCAAGCCATAAACCTCAACCTCAACCCTTAACCTTCGACCCTGAACCCGTCAACTCATGTAGCCCTAAACCCATAGAAACCGGGCCCTCAACCTTCAAGCATAGGCAAGCATAGGGAGCCCTAAACCCTAAACCCTTCCCGAGAGGTGGCTGCAATCGCTGCGCACGGCCCAGCAGCTGCCTCACAAGTACTCTGGCGCTTCTCACAGTACTATGAGGACCTTGAAGCTGGTAGGGTTTAGGGTTTAGGG